CCCACATCTTGCGTTTCTTACCCGAGGACCCCTTGGTGGGGGTCTTGGTCTGCCCCTTCAGAATACAATCGCCGTACGCTTGCATGATTTTAACAACCAGGTCCCAAGTATCCTGACGCATTGTAGCGACCGACTAATGCGTTGCGTAGTCGTTGGCGTAGGAGATGTGAATCGTTTGCAACACCTCCGCCTTAATCTGCATCTGCTGGGCCGATGTCAAATAGCTCCAGACCGGGAACCATTTGCCACTTTTAACCTCTCCCCCGAAAAGCTGCCAGTCATTCACATTGGCCCAGTCCCCCTTCGACAGCCTCTCGTAGACCTGCTTCCTTGCCGTCGCTGTCTTTGGAAGCTTGAAAGTCTTGGGATCGTGCTTTTCCAACTCCTTCACCAGGCCGTCCTCCGTCCAGTCTTGGGCCTGAACGTCCCATTCCGTGATGCCACAATGCCAATAGAGTTTGTGGAGCGGGCCCTTCGATGCCTGCATGGTTTGCCGAGAAATTACGGCCAGTCACATTCGTTTGCTTTAAGTAAGTAAGAGCTTTAAGTGACAAAGATGGATAAGTTACATTATTTTCTCAGAAATCACCTGCATGCCAGTTCGCATGGATTTTATGATTTGCTGGTGCGACTTGCCCTTCACGTTCCGGTCGACGGTGTTCTGCTCGTCAGCCAAGAATCGGACCATATCAGACTGTAGATTAAAATACAATTTGCACTCGATCTGCTGAAAAGCTTCGTTATCTGGGTTTTCACTGTGAAGCTCCCGCCGAGCGGTGAGGCTATGTTGGTGCCCGAAGCACACAACACGATACTTGCCGTCGTGCACCTTATTGGGGTCAAACTCCTCCGCGCTTTTGAGATGCTTCCCACTGTCCGCGTATACAATGTACACCAGGGAGGTGTTCTGAAAAAAAAGTGCCGCCCGGACCACGACTAGCAGCCAGCTCGCTTTCTGCTGCAGGTGTCAATGGTACCTATAAACATATATTGTGATATAAAAGTACAAAGTTAGTCACTAACAGGAAACACCTCATTAGGTTAATGAGCAATTCGAAACAATACTCTTACAGTGTTCATTATAAAAACATATTATTTACATATACAAAGATGGTGATAAAACCGTTCCGCGATGCATCACGTACACGTCACCCGTTTGTCGATGAGCATGATCGTACTGCGTCACGTTCGCATCACGTGATACCATACGTGATGATTAGATAGAATCTGGGTGAGCGAGGGAAACCTTTCAGGCCCACCGTTGGCCGATCGAACCGACCGAGATATTCCGTACGTCAGCCAAGCGTCACAAGGGACTCCTGGATGCGGGGTTTTCGTGGGCGTGGGTGAAGGAAAACCATTGCAAGGCAACGGGGATAAAGCTACCGTCACAATTTTCTCGATTGCCGTACGCAAGGGAGGACCGAATCTACCTACCTGACGGAATGCACATTATCAAGAATTTGACGGACACGGTGAGCGACTCGTTGTTGGGCGCCTACGTCAACCAGAAGGTCCGCAATCATTGCGAGGCGAGAAATATTCGCCCCCGCATTGTGAACTGAAGGGTTGCCCCACCGCCCATCCGAGTAAGTGTGTGTTCGGTATGCGTTCGAGACGCGCTACGTACACGACTTATGGAAGAGGCGCAACTTGTGCGCGACGCGTTGCGATCATAGATACGATGTTGACATGTTGCACGTATAGTTTGACAAAATAGTCGGTGTGTGCAGATCCGAATAACCCTGGATTCTACGCTACGCGAGAAGGCCCTTACGAAATCCCAAATGTGAGAAGTCCGATGCATCGCTCGCGTGACGGTGCCCGAACGTTCGTGGGATTCCCCAAGAAGGGCACCGGGGTGAAGGTGCCACGGATTTGGGGGAACGGACACAAGGCGGTATTACGATGGTCTGGTGGAGAGACGGGTCCTAAGACTAAGAAGGCGTCCGAGACGAATGAAGGCAGGCGACGCCTTGGTCATGTTTCAATCGGGCATGTTCGGAGTTCTGGCCGCTTGGCCTCGGGACGTGGATGACCCCCCAACCTGTTGGCTCGCCTTGTCGGCGATTTGACTGTCACCATCCGCGAGGTGACGTCTCCGGTCCTAATACCGAAGGCGTGCCCACGCTAGCTTGCCTTTATGTGCCTGAGTTGACTACCTAGCAAATGACGTGTAAGGCACGCGTCACGTACACGTATCGCTCACAGACGCATATAGACCACGCGTATTGTGCGTGACACGTCACGTGCACACCCCCATCAGACAAGGTTGGATGGCGTGTGAATCTTTGGGTGCAGGGGTTGGAAATACTGGAGAAGTTCGTTGAGGACTGGTTTGAGGGCATGGAAAGTGACCGATCAGGCGCCTCTCCTGATTGGTGGGTCATCAACACTCATTTGTTGATTCATCTCGTTCGTAACCTAAAGCAGTGGGGACCGATTAAAGAAACGTGGATGTATGCTTTCGAGTCCATGAACGGTCGGCTAAAAAGATGGGTGAAGAACAACGCGTACCCAGTGCAGAGCATCATGGGAGGTACGCGCTAACTAACGCAACCACCCACTGTTGTAAAAATGATGCCGGATGGGTGGGACACGCGTGACGAACACATCTAGTAATACGTATGCAAGGTCTGCACGTGGCGTGCACATAACGCGGCGACGGGCGGGGTCCCGGACAGGAATTGGACGCACCAGAATGATTCGGATGATACGAGGACTCGCGATGCACCTGAGGAAGGAGATCGGTATTGTACTGCCAATGGATCGGAACGACCGGGACATCCGGGTCACCAAACGTGGGAGTCGGCACACCTTCACTATCGAAGAAAGAACCCAACTTGAGAAATGGGCATGCTGGGCGAATACGGAGGAAGCGATCATTGAAGGAAGAGTCCGTGGAATTCAAAAGGCGCAACGGGAATATGTAAGAAGCAGGAACCCCCTCCACACACGCACCCTCGATCGACGTCGACGGGGTTTCTATTACCACGGAGAGGTGCGATTCATTGAAGTATTTGTTCATGCAAGTATGATAATGCTCGGTAGCGAGGGCCGTTCGTTGTGTGCGCTTGACACGTCATCATCAGATGTCAAACCATTAGAAATTATGTGTGCACAATGCGTCACTATCACATATTCCTTTGGCATGATGTGCGTGCGTGACGCGTCACCATCAATTGAACACCCTTTCATTCAGTGAATGATCATGGCGTGTCTCTTGCCGGAATTGCAGGATGGGACAAGTCGTTGCCGTTTGCGAGATTGACGTTGCTGGGGACACGAGCATCCTCGTGAAGGCACGGTGGCTTCGTTTGGACACCGAAGGAAAGAGAGAAGAATACGCCGCCCGAAATTCCATCTACGGCGCGGACAACGTGAGCAAAGGTTTTTACGTGGAAGATCCTGAAAATCCGGCAACTGCTGGGTGGGACAACACGGAGCCCTTCATAGCGGCCCAACACATTGACAGTCAAGTCGTTGTAATTAAGCATCCGTGCATGGAAACGGCGGTGGTATTCGACCGTGAGGTTGACTTCTTTGATGTTGTGATTGACGCATATGCGTGCGAGAGAGTAGGTTTGTTAGAGATTTGCTCGTAACTTGTAAATGAAGTTGTAAATACATAATGTAAGTGAAAAACAGAAGCGTTTGTGCGTGACGCGTCACGCACACAAACATCCGACACCGTGCGTGACGTGTGAGTGGCGCGAGTGGCTCGCGCACACGCATCTATGTGTTTGCGTGCTCTGTGCGTGACGCGTCACGCGCGTCACGTGCACAGTGAATTAACGTGCTACTTACGTGTAAGCTATAGATCATATCAAAATTAGATGTGCGTGACGCGTCACGCACACAACCATCCGACACCGTGCGTGACGTACGAGTGGCGCGAGTGGTTCGCACACACGCATCCATGTGTGTGCGTGCTCAGTGCGTGACGCGTCACGCGCGTCACGCACACATCACGCACAAAACATGAAAGAAACGTGTTCATCACCCGCAGAAACTCATACATTACTGTTGGTGATGCGTCACGTAATCCTTGTGTGCGCGTGACGCGTCACGCACACAAGGGCAGATTTTCAAGGTGCTCCAGAGGTCGCATAAATTAGTATTTAAGTATGCTACTACATACGTGTGCCCATGAATACTTTGATCTTTACGTGTAATCGAAAGAAAGTGACAATTTGGAAAGTCGAGCAACCACCTCTTATTAACCCCCTGGAATTTGCTTGACGCGTCACCCACAGACTACGTGATCCGCGTGACGCGTCGCGTACACGTCACGTACACACATTGCGAAATGTGTCAGACTGTAGGGATCCTCGTGGTGACGGTGGGTTGTGGCTTGTGGTGGAGGCGGCGGTGCTGGCGGTGCTGGCGGTGCTGGCTGAACTATCGGTATCACGACCTTATAATTTTCTTCGTCGAAGTCCACCGTCTCCTCTGGTTCATGCCCTGGCAGCAAAAACTTCTGCTGCGCATGTACCAGGTGCTTCTCCACGTGATGCTCAAGGTAATTGAAGATCTTCACAAAGGTAAACAATGGGCTTTTGATATTCTCAGCAATTCCACAATAGCAAACGAAAGACCGTTGTCCTTGTCCGAGTTCGTGCTGAGCATCTTGGTCTGCCGCTCGCCAAACCCGTTTGTGTAGTACACGATTTCATATATGTTTAAAGACCACACAGCGGAACAGCTACTCACTCATAACGACCTATACGAGACACGAGTAGAAGCAGTCACGTCCTGCGCGTCATTGCGCAAGTCGACTGACAGCGACAAAAGCGTGCGTAATGGACCCACGACACACATACAGTATAAGGCATGTAAAAACCTTTCTCCACATGACACCTGTTACGGATCGAAAGATGACACACGCCCGCAGTCGCGATCTTGGTACGGCATCGATCGATATCCCAGTCGATCTTCGATCCGTATGATTATCGGAACTGTACAAGTGCCACAAGCGGATCGCGCTTGAACATCAGTAAGCTCCGATAGCTCAGTGGCACAGCAAGTGGGCGACAACAATGCACGAGGTCGCCGGATCAACACCCGGCTTGGAGCAACATTTGTGCCCGAGCTCGCGGTGACGTTCAGGTCTTGTACAGTGAAACTCCCTTCACGATTTATAGATCTTTGTCTTAACGTTGGTATCGAAGGACGGTTCGGAAACCGCCTCGGATGTAACGGCATAAGGCATGCTGTGACCTGCGCTAAGATCGCGCATGCTCGGGCACGGTGCTGTGACCTGCGCTACGATCGCGTATGTATTATGGGCACGTTGTGACCCGCGCTGATGACGTGGACACATTCCACACAACCCCCGGCGGGTACGAGAGGACAAGGTTGGCTGCCACGTCATCACACCCAAGGTCGGCCTACTGAAAAGTAACTCGACACGAATGTCGTGAGCGAGGTCACGACACTAAATAAAGAGGGAAGATATGTTACGGATCGAAAGAAGTCAGACGCCCGCAGTCGCGATCTTGGTATGTCATCGATCGATGTCACAGTCGATCTTCGATCCGTATGATTATCGGAACTGTACAAGTGCCACAAGAGGATCGAGCGTGAACATCAGTAAGCTCCGATAGCTCAGTGGCAGAACAAGTGGGCGACAACCACGAGGTTACCGGATCGAAGCCGGCTTGGAGCAACATTTGTGCCCGAGCTCGCGTTGACGTTCGGGTCTTGTACGGTGAAACTCACTTCACGATTTATAGATTTTAACAACACCGCTGCACAGCTGGTTCCTAGCTAGTGTTAAGACAGAGGGGCGCAGGAGGCAGCGCGCATCTCGCAAGGTGAAGCGCTTACTTGGTGGCAGTCAACACAGTTAACGCAGAGACGAGTGAGAAGCAGCCAGAACCGATGCCATCCCGAGAAAAACAAGCCGCTCCCATCGTGGTCGCAGGTGACGAGTGATTTTGTCTTTGGAGCAGAGACATTTATGGGCAACGACGCTGGTACCCTTTATTTCAGGGGAGAAGCGTGCTCACGCCACAACTAAGACGTCGTTCTAAACAGCGTCCTCATCTAAACGCAAACCAGCGAACGTTAATAAGTAGGCTAAGATCGCCTCAATAACCGCAGTCGTGGCACATTTCATGGGCGCGCAGCAGACATCAGACGCTGGCTTGGACCTCACGCAGGTAACCCAGAGGGCAGTGCCAGAGCGCGACAAAAGTGCAGGTTGCGCACTAGTCAGTGCCGCCAGGGCTGCCCAGGGGGCTTGCGAAAGGGGAGACATCTGGGGACGAGTTTTCCTCCATGGACGACGAGGAGAATTTCGACGGATGACCTGGGGGGTCGCTGCGTGACCTAGGCGGTTTCGCATTCGCTCTCATCGTGCGTGGGGTCTCCAACTGAGACTTCACAGTGGGACAACACATCTGCCGGAGCACCCATCCGCTTTTCTCCCGCGACACTACGACGCATTTTGGGGGGTTTTAGCGGAGGCAACAGTAACAGTGCCGGCATACCGGACGCACGCACGAATGCAGCCCGCGGCTGCAACGGTTGATTGCGTACTCTTTCAGACTTGGGATACGGTTGCAGCGATGGGGGCGACCCCATCGACGCGGAGCAGGGGCGAGGCCCGGCGCCGTCCGCGGCGAGAAGACGGACGCAATATTCGGGCATCTCACCGGCTACTGTACGGACACGCTTGCCTTACGCTTAGAGTGCAACCTGCGCTTTTCAAATTGCACGTATCCTAGGATATGCACCCCCACTGGGTCGCATAATTGGAGTGCCCATGGGACTCCACTACGTAGTAAACGGCCGCTCTGCATCGGACATTCGCTGCCTGGTGCTTTGTCACAGTGTGGGATATCTCAAACCGTTGTTGTTGAGGGGCACTGCAGCATCCCGTTATGAGGCAGGGTATGTTGCAGTGAGGGCTCCAACCGTTCTGCAAGTAAATGCTGCCATGGGGGCTTCCGTAGTTAGGTAAAAGGGGCAGGATCGACAGCTGCGCACCTCCAAATACCACTCCTCCATTAGGAGGATTCGCGTTTTTTATTTTTCTTTCCAATCTCCGTAAAACGATCAAACCTCTCAAAAAGTGTCCCTTAAAGCCTGGAAGGCCTAAAACCCCCTCCCCCTAGCAGTTGCATTCCACGGCTTAGACGGATATCGCTCTACATAGTGTATTCACAAGAAGGTCACGCATGTGATGGTGGTATCCGCGCGTGGGGCCCTCCCGCCCCGCGCGCATGATGGCGGTATATATGGAATGCTGTGACATCCGGGTAGATATACGATGGAGGCGTGCCGCAGGCAAGAATTTTTAGCCCCCTGTAGCATGCTTTAACGTCTTGGGGCCACTTACCCACCTCCGCCAGCTTTAACGTCCGAGAGGCTCTGACCCCCATAGGAGAATGCTTTTAGAGTCTAGGGTGCACTCCCATCCCCCATAGCAGCATGTTTTAGAGTCTTGGGCGATAAATTTTGATGATCACATGTTTATTATCGATACGATATGATATGCTACACAACAAATCGATACGATATGATAATTTCGGCAATTTCGGCCGCGTTGAGCATATGCGTTGTACGATGGTGTTGGACAACATTGTTCGTGATTCGCCACGCCAATATATACATCCGCGTTCGCGTCACCTCAAATTAGAGACGGGCACTCCTCTAGCTAGGTCACCTCAATCGAAATCGCTCGTCGGTCGATGAGAAAGCAACCCAATATAACATGCCATCATTCGACGGACGATATCTGCATGTATGCACAGCATCACGTTTATCGGTGATTTCGGTGCGTTAGCTGCGAGTGCATTACGCGAACATTGCTGAAATCTGCACAGGCAGACCGGGAGTCCCAGGTCAGGCCCCTGGCAGACACTGCGAGTGGTAGCCGCCTGTCATTGGCATAAATGTAACCACAGACGTTGATGTGCAGGGACCAAAGCAAATTACCTACCTCTAACCTTTACGATCTTGGATCGGGACGATCACTTTATAAACCTTACACACCTTGCAGCCTCTGACCTTTGCGATATTGGCTCAGGGCAAATTACCTTACATACCTTCCGCCCGCCTAGATCAAAACACGTGAGTGTCCAACCTGCGACATCCCGCTAAATGTTTGAAGAAGTGAAGACAGCGGCAGTTTCACCGTCCATCTAAGCAAATTCTATAACGCAAAGAATCGTATCGACCACCTACGATTACGCTTGGCTAACAAATATATAATATCCATTTAAGGTTGTACAGTTCGTGTGAGCCGCCTGCCCGCACGTGCGTCCGCTCCTACAACACGGGCAATCATTGCAATGTTACAGGATAAACGTTGCCGAAAGATACGAAAGCTATGAAAACATTTGCGCCACATGACATCTGTCCGAGTGACCTAAAGACTTTTTCAGATCTCTTGGCTCCATTAGTCCCGGAATGTCATGCAAAATTATCCTTTAAAACTTATGGTCACGATAATAATGAAAAACGTCATAATAAAACATTTACGTCGATGGGTAAGGCAAAGCTCTCGGAACGAGCAAGAAGAGTCTGTTCCCCACATACATGTCTGCAAAAGCAGTTTTGCATTCCACAAATTATGGGAGCATGAGCGGCACAGCACTAGAGGAAACGCGTCACATCTTTTTAAGGACAGTGGCAACCGACACAAATGGCAAACCTTCACCAATGGCACTTTCCCCACTAATGATACCTGAAATTGGACAACTACCATGCATTTTGAGCCTTTAAAATTTCCGATTGAGGCTTCAATTGCAATTTATTTTTTGGGACATTTTGGTTTAGGTGGTGTGTGATTATGAAAGTTTTGTGAGAGATGGCGGGAAAATTAATATATGGAGACGGGTATGTGTTGTATAAAAATACAGGATTGCAGAAAATATTCATAATTATAATTATAGTCAGGGTGCGCTAATGGCGGGAACGCTATATATGCAAAATCCAAATTCCGATTCGATACGATTCATCCGTGGCCCATACATGCCGCATCCGCGGCTCGGGGAAATTCTATTCGTCGAATATTTTTATTTCGTCTATACCAATTCCTTTTCATTGTTTATAACAATTCCTTAATGGCTGAGTCGGCTTAAGCGCCATGACTGTGTTTTGCGTAACACAATAAAATTGTAACACAGGTTCGAGCCTACCTGTAGCTAGCACACTCTACCAAATTCCGACCAAAAGTGAGTTACTCATAGATCACACAAAAGTAGAAAGCACAACAGTTGCAATCAAAAAATATTCGCATGGATTAACCATTGGATCATACATAGCCCACATACCTTATAAAAAGGAACTCATTTAATTCTCCGAACTGTTATCAGCCTCTCCATGAAGATCATAGGGCACATATTGAAGTATTTCAAAGCCTAATGTTCTATGGGTCTTCACAACAAAGCATATTAGTTCTAATTCTTTTCAAATGGGTTTCTTTTATCTAAGAATAAAAAATTCAATACAGGAATCAAATACAGGATATCATACATAAAGCTAGCTGAAAACTATAATACATTGATCAAGCTTAATAAAAAAAGTCCTGATCAAGAGTGGCAACCTCAGTGCTGGGAAGAACCGCTTCAGTCTCCATCTCTAACTGCGGCTCAAGTTGTGCCTGAGAACCAGAAAACACCGAGAACCAAAGGGGAAGCTTACCAACACGCAAATGAAAGAATCTTGCAAGTGCGTGCCTACGCCTGCACATAAGTGTTTGCCCTCTTCGACCACAGGAGGACCAACACAGTGTACACCACTCACAACCATGAGCTGTATAGTAAGTGGTTCACACAATTGCCATGCCACATTGTTACTATACTAAGCTGATCATGCTAGAGAGAGCGTAGTCAGCGCGGAGCATACCTGTTCCCAATCCTCAATACTAAAAAGCTGCTTCACGTTTATTAAGGACAACTCATTCAATTGGCGGACAACCAGATCGGCTGCAGAGAGTTCATACATGGGGTGCTTGGTTCCCACCGCGATGCACTGCAAGGACAGGACGCACACTAAGTCCCAAAAATCCCGCAGACCATAGGTTGCCCAAGAAACACCAGAGGCAAGCAGACAGCATACAGTAGG